ACCTAAAGTGGGCTGCCTCGAACTTGCGACTGTTGGATCGTGTGGAGAAGCACTTGGCTCACCTTTCTGTGACCACGATGCATGCTTGCCCAGCTTTCGTTTCTCCCGTCGTGACGGACATCGTCAGAACCAGAAAACAACATTTATGACCAATCGACAAAATAGACAAAACCCAGAAAGGCGGCCGGCTAAAGTCCCACTTACTTTCTATACCCAACTTTGCATCCGATAATGTGATTGGCTACTTGTTGGCTGCTGGTTCCACATGTAAGTGTGTGTGTCATAGCTCTTCTTCACAGCAACAAATAAGCGCATGATCTTGTACTACTGACACTTCTCTTCAGACCTGCAACTCACTCTTGTAGAAGTCTCAAGTTAACTTCAGGTCAGCAAGAATATCCGGATCTATCTTACCTCTCAATTATAGCCTTGACTTCAACACAAAAAGGTACAGAGACGATGTCTCGTGGATTGCGTCAAAATGAACTTTGAATTTCTTCATCATGCACTTTCATACGAAAGGAAGGTCTGGTCGTGTAGCTGAACTGGACAGACATGTTTGGAGAATGTAACTACCGGTCGCATCGTCTACTGTTTCTCGGTGCCTCTGCATCTTCTCTCTTTTTCATTCTCGCATAGGGTCTATCAATCAAGTGAGTGTGCGTCTTTGCCAACGTGCTGTCTGTAACAACCCAAAGGACTCGTGAAGACCCGTTTGCTCTCAGTCGCATTAGTCTTGTCTCGTGTTGGCGTCTTGGTCGTGTCGTCGTTGATGTCGATGCTATCGAAGATGTCAAAGATGTTGATGATGTACTCGAGCTTGACGATTCTGACGATGTTGACAATGTCGACGATGAAGAAGATGTTGACAATATTGTAGGATTTCGTCTGTCGTTGTGTCCAGTGAACCGGGCAGATATGCAACGAACATTGCAGAAAGCGGACGACAGGAAGAGTCGACTAGAGACAAGACCTCTGCCTGGAAGTGTACGATTGGGCGGCCGCAAGGGGAAATGCGTAACAAGAAGACTCCATTTCAGGTCCGTTTTGGGTTGCGTGGTAGGAGGGACTGGAAGAGTTGGCAGGCAGATCAAGGAACATCTTCTCCATTCCACGTCTGAGGGAGCTGGTCGACCAAACCTCTCAGGGCACACCTTCAAAATGGCTCAACTTCGGCCTCATTTGTGGAGGCCCAATGTTGTCTTGCCTTCCAGCCGCACCAGCTCAAGGCGTAACCTCGTCGGTTGTCGAGACGAGATTCGTCCTGAAAGCCATTCATGCCGAACAACCACATCGATTGGTGCTGGAATGCAACTTTGCGTGACAACAGCCAGCAGGACCATCGAGACATTCCACGCGCCTGGTGAGGAATCGAACAGGAATTGGCAGAGTTGGTCCTTATTCGCCAACAACCTCGACACCAGCCAAAGTCGCTTATGGGGATTGGAGTAAGGACTGATAGTTGAGTTTTCCCACAATCACATGAATTGGCCACATGATGCCGTTGAATTTCACTTCGTCTTGCCTGTCTAAAGCTTTTCTGATAGGGACGAAAAATCGAACATTGTCCTTAATTTACCCAGAGTTTGTTTGATATTTTCATTTTACAAAGTTTTATGACTTTTGGTTAAATTGCAGAGACATGTCTTCGTATCCGCAACTCGCCATTCCGACAGAGCATTTATGACTACTCGACGCACTACTCATGTCGAAAATGTGCAAATTACGGCAGCAAGAAAAAAAAGTGTTAAAAACAATCGAGCCTACTCAAAAGTTCTGAAGCAAGTCTTGAAGCCGGTAGATTCGAATCCCTCCACTTCTCTGTGTTGAATGGCCATGTCGTCCAAGAAGGTATCCAGTTCGACCGTCTTGTAGGCCGCCGTACAGTATTCGTCCTGAGGCGGAATTTTGAAAAACAACATTAGAATGCACTTTAACACAGGCAGTCAGTCCATTCAACAAGTTTTCGGGCGGGGACAGTGACACTTGGCTACAGTTTGTTTATTTTCACCCAACCATGACGTGTGGCACCATCATGGGGGGTAGAAATGTCATATTTGCCATTGATACTACTATCGACAGCTCAGTAGTAATGAGGACACTTTTAGGGGAGGACATGAAAGATGATGCTTGTTCAACAACGAGCAAGAGAGATTGTAAGTAAGTCCTGGATGGTCTATGATGAATACTTGGTTGATTACAAGTCGACTATTTGCCAGAAGAGCTGGCGAAGAGGAAGTAGCCCTCAAGGGAGTAGTTTGTCTTTCACAGGCAGTTGTGGTGATGTCAAGATCTTGTCTCATTCTGTCCCACCGAAAGATGGGTTCAGTTTACGAGTTGACTCGTTGCATCAGTCACTCGCCACCCGCCTCGATGGACTCGTCTTCGAGGCCTGAATTGAGGCAGGGAGCTCGTGACCGACCACGGGACTAAGAAAGGCAGATGAGGAGTTCGTGAGTGGCAGCGAAGAAAGCGAGCATGCGCGTGGATTGCCCCGTTGGTATGCAGAAGTAAACA